TTCCTGCTGCCCTTCTTTAGACCCTTTCAAATTTTTCTGCATCTTTCTTATATTTCAGTGCCCACAACTGGACACAGTATTCCAGGTGAGGTCTGACTAGTGAGGAGTATAGGGGAGCTACTACTTCTCATGATTCCAAAGTAATGTTTCTATTAATGCATCCCAAAATAGCAGTTGCCCTTTTTGCAACTGCATTGCTTCATTGGCCCATATTAAGCCTGTTGTCCACAATAATTCCAAGGTCTTTTTCAGTTCTGTTGAGCCACGTATTCCCCATCTTGTATTGCTGCATTTGGTTTCTTTTTCCTAGGTGGAGGACTGGGCACTTATCCCTATTGAATCTTCCTTCAGACCATTGTTCAAGTTTATCAAGATCTCCCTGGATCTTCATTGTGTCTCACTATTCCTCCCAATTTTTGTATCTCACTTACAAGCACCCAGCTCAAGAAACTGTTCTGCTCATTGTGAATACTGATTAAGGCTTGTTTCAATAATGTTGCCTGGTTCAGATGCAATGACAAAGTGTGGTTGGAATTTTAATTAAGCTAAGAAGTTGTGACAGATTTTATTTTCCTGGGCTCCAAGATCACCGCAGACAGGGACTGCAGCCAAGAAATTAAAAGCACTTGCTCCTCCTCCTGGGGAGGAAAGCTATGGCAAATCTAGACTGTATACTAAAAAGCAGAGACATCACCCTGCCAACAAAAGTGCATATAGTCAAGGCTATGGTTTTTCCAGTTGCAATGTATGGCTGTGAAAGTTGGACCATAAGGAAGGCTGAGCGCCAAAGGATTGAGGCCTTTGAGTTGTGGTGCTGGTGGAGACTCCTGTGAGTCCCTTGGACCGCAAGACGATCAAACCAGTCAGTCCTAGAGGAGATCAACCCTGACCACTCTTTAGAAGGCCAGACACTGAAGATGAAACTCAAATACTTTGGCCACCTAAGGAGAAGGAAGGACTCCCTGGAGAAGAGCCTAATGCTGGGAACAATAGATGGCAAAAGAAGAAGGGGGCGGCAGAGAATGAGGTGGCTGGATGGAGTCCCTGAAGCAGTTGGTGTGAGCTTAAGTGGACTCCGGGGGATGGTGGAGGACAGGAAGGCCTGGAGGAATGTTGTCCATGGGGTCGCGATGGGTCGGACATGACTTTGCGACTAAGAACACCAACACCAACAACAACAACAAGTAGAAGCTTCTAATCTTTGAGCTATGCTAGGGAGAGGCTAAAGCTTATCCAGGTTCAACCCTTCAGTGCTATATTGCAGTATATTATGTATATTGTTGTTGGCTTCAAAGGATTCTGCAAGAAAATGGAAGAAAATGAAAAGGGCTGGGAAATATAAATGAAACATCTTTTGATTGACACAGGGCCTACTTGCTTCATTCTTTTACTCTTTGCAGAGGTCCTGTTTTCCCTCATGATTCTAGTTGCCCGTCACCATTACCTTTTGCCTCTTCTGTTTTGCTATTGCTGAATCATATCCTTTCCACATTTTGCTCTGCTAAAAGAGCTGTGGTGAAAAAGAAACTTTTGGCTTCTCTCTCTACCTGCAGTAAGAAAGAACCTGGGCCTTGGAGCATTTGAATTACCGCTTGGGACACAGTAAAAACATATATTTGATGCAGTGAAAGTATTCTAGCAAAAACATCTTCCACCCTTAATGGGAGCCTACCAATATTTTTAGACCGATAGATCTGTTATGCTAAATATTCTGTGTTTGTGACTGTATCTCACAAAAACATACCTGAGTGTTCTTCCTGTTAATATAAAGTATAATGAATGGTTCTGCAAACATGTGATTGTTCAGAGTGCTGGACTGGGAGATCCAGGTTCTAGTTCCCACTCAGCCATTAAGCCCACTAGATAACTTTAGGTCAATCACTGCCTCTCTGCCCAACCCACTTCAAACAATTGTTGCAATGAGGAGAACATGGAGAGGAGGTGAACCTTATAAGCTGCCTTGATTTCTGTGCAAGAGAAATTCAGTTCAACCACTGCTCACAAAGGCCTAGACCTAGATAGCACCAAAAGTAGGAAATGTCTTTTTTCATAATGTAACAGAAACTAATTACAAATATTGATTGATGCACTTGGTAACTTTAAAAGTCCGGCTCTTGTAGACCAGGGGACCCAAACTTTTTGAGCCAATGGGCTTATCTAGAATCATGAGTGCTACCAGAAAATTATTGCTATGGATTTGACCATTCACAAATTAGTATCATTTTGGCAAGGCCAGAATCCAAACTGGTGAAGTTAAATGCAAAGGAACCTAAATATAAGGCAGAGGTGAGTTCTGAGTTCTAAAAAATCACCCTTTTAAACCATATCAAAGAAGGCAAATTGAGTGACAAGTAACTTGGGTAAGAAACTCAATACACAGTAGAGGTCTGAGGCCTAAATGCTAAATCACATATTTTCCCTCGCAAAATACAACAAAATACTCATAAAGCAAATTGGTGGTGCCTTGAGAAACACATACTGGTGAAACACTTCTCGTTCCCATTATTTTCTATAGACCTATAGGATGCTCCCCACAACCTAGTTTTTTCTTTCTTTCTTCTTGAGCAGCTGGAGTACTTCTAGTGGAGTAGTTCTGCCCTATGACCACTCTCCATTTTTATATTCTACAAATGCTTCTGGGGCCAATGTGGGACTTATGGAAAGTAAGATTACGCTAGAGACTAGTGCTTTACCTTGGAGCATGCTAGCCTCACAGTTAATAATTTAAAGTACTTTTTGTTTGTTTGTCTGTTTATTACAAACATTTGTATCCCATCCTTCTGCACAAGCACTCAATAAATTAATCCTAAGCAAAATATCAAAATAAGGGCAGACACAGTACTGCTCACATGCACCTCACTTTAAAATAGGCATATTTTAAAGGCTTCAATTTTTGCAGAAAAGTTAAAAAATGCCTGAAATATATGTTTAAATTGGGGTGAATCATAATACAAATAATGGAATATTAAATAAGGAACTCTCTCCTTTCCTGAAGTGATGCCCCAAGTTAAAGGGGCAGGAATAAAATTGCCTATTGCTTTGTTTTTAACAACGAAATTTTAAAAAGTCATTTATCCAGTTCATCTATAGTCTTCTCTACTTGTATGGATATGTCCTCAGGAACCAAACAAGGGCATAGTTCCACTTCATTGTTTGCCACTCTCTTAAAATTGTGCACTTCAAGCCAACTGAATTTAAAAGCTAGTGGATGTCTTGTATCTACTGGAATCCCATTTGGTTGCCTTCAATGGAAGACTCTTTGATCCAGACGAGGCTTGCATTAAAAGTGAGGGGAAATTTGTGTGTGTGGGGGGGGGAATCACCTGCCTTTCTCATGCAGTGCATGTCACTGTTTCCTACAATGTTCAAAAAGGTCCTCCAAACTTCTAAAAATTATCAGGAAAATGTGAGGACCTATAATCACCTTTCCCCTTTCTGCTCAGGAAAGTCTCCAGTGAATCGGAGGGGAGATTTCTACCAGTAGAACAGAAATAATTAAATGTAATCCTTGGTACTAAAACTTACATGGGAAATAAGGGAGGCCAAAGGGCTTTTAAAAGCCACACAATAAGACACTCAGCTTTCCTATCTGTAAAACTTATGCATGTCACCAGAGTTGCCAATTCTTTAACTAATTCTCCACCTTTGCACCTTCCACCTGGTGTTAGGAAAGGTGCCAGGTTATTGCTGCAGGTAAAGGAACAGGGCCAGTGAAAACATTAGTAACACTAAAACTATTTAATAAAGCAACACTGGAAAATTTGTGGCCATTCTGATTATTGGCCTACAACTTCCAGAGTCCTTTACTGGCTGTGATGGCTAGAGCTGAGAGGACTTGTAGACTAAAAGAACTAGAGGATTACAAGTTCCCCACTCCTGTTCAAATGTCAGAAAAATGTTAGAAATCTTACAATGCACAGAGAAAGAATGTGGTTTTATTAAGACCACCCAGTAACAACAACTTCTTACAAAACGCTGGAAGTGTTTCATAGAAATAATTGCCACAAAAAGAAAAGAACTAATTTTCACAGAAAGAAAAGAAATCATTTCCACAATAATTCATGTACTTGATGTTCCATTGTACTCCTTTCCCTACACAACTGAATACTTCGTTTCATCAGAAGCAACAGAATTCGCAGTATGCAGAATATTTCAGTAGAAGTGTGAATAACAAGCTGTTCCATAAATACACACATGCATTTACATCTGATACCACATACATAGATTATACCACAAAATAACTAAACTCCTCCACAGTAACAGATACGAAAGTGCAACAGGGAACTGCAGTCCAGCTATAAGCAGGAAGAATATTGCAACCACTACAAAATTACCTGACATACCGAATGTTGACCAGAAAGCTATTGTTAACTAAATAATCCTTTGTTTAGTGACTCCAAAAAACCTTGACTCTTCATGGGGTACTCTTCCACCTTCAGAAACACTGTCTGCCTTCAGTCACACACATGGTTCAAGTGCAGCAACAGAGTCATAGGCTCAGCCAAATGTAAATTGAAACATATGTTTGGATCCTCACATAATCAAAAGATAAATGGGTATGATTTAAAATACATAAATTGTGGTTAGGGAATACCTTAAGGCCCAAGCAACTTTTTTAACACACAAATGAGCAAACAAAAGTGTCAGGACTTCCAAGTTTACACAAAACATATAGTTAGCACTCCATAGCATATTCACAGAATGAAGACGGGTATTTTCAGGCAAGCTAACTAGATGGTACAGCACCTCCTTCAAATGCTGAAAAATTTACAGTTTTTTCAAATCTCTCTCTCAGCTGTTAGTAAGAGCGCAATAAAGATTTGGGCCATATTGATACCATACCGATATAATATCAATTTTTAAAAATACAATTTAAAAGTAAATTTCAAGATTAAAATATATCTTCTTGAAAAAACAAGCAAATGCGACACATGATAATTACAACCTTTCCAAATGAGGGAAAACACATTGGAAATAAACAAAGAATTTTAGAAACATACACCTGAGTTGCTTCTGTGGTTTCTTCTCAGATACCTTTGCCTGTGAGGAAAAGTTAAGCTTCACGTCTTCCAAGCAGTTTCTTCTGCATAAATAAGGAGAAAACTTTTTGTTGTTTTTTTTTTTTGAGAACAGTTAAGGGCTACGCCTCTTCCTTTTTTTCTACTGATAATATATATATATATATATTGCCGCTGTGGGGTTTAGAGGAAGTGAGAACTGAGGGAGGGTGACAAAAGTCTTTGAAAAGTCATCAGTTCAAAACTGTAACCAAATTCACAAAACATGTACAAATCAGACTGGAACCCTAGGAAGTTTGCTTTCCTTGAGCATGACAGAGGGAACTCTGTAGTATTACAGCAGGAACACCTCTTCAGGTGGTCTGCTCTTTAAGGAGCACCTTCCATGAGGTTTCCCATATGAGCCTGTGCAAACATTATCTTCTCTTCTGAAGATGTATGGAACCTGCAGAAGGCCTTCTCAGATGTGGCACCAGTCTCTGGAATTCCCTCTCCAATTAACCTTGTTTTGTGCTGAGCCTAATGACTTAGGGAGACTCACTCAGATGGAAGACTCACTCAGCGGTGACAGCCAGGCCATGTTGCTTCCTATAGAGGGAGGGTTTTTCACGCAGAGGGTCTGAGAGGTGACGGTGGGGGGGGGGCATTCTTGACTTGGTTTTGACCAAGAGGGAGGAGCTGATAGATGAGGTACAGATTAGGGAAGCTCTGGATGTGAGTGATCACTCCATCCTTTGCTTTGAGATCAGGGGAATGGGGATGAGTGGCAGGTCAACTACTAGAAGCTGGGACTTCAAGAGGGCCAACTTTGGCCAACTGAAGGCCAGACTGGGGAAAGTCTCCTGGGACAGGTTACTGGAAGGCAAGGGAGTTGAGGAGGGGTGGATGGCCCCCAAAAGGGAGGTTTTGGAGATGCAAGCCTTGACGATACCTCTAGTTAGTAAAGAATGGAGCTGAAGGAGAGCGCAGCCATGGATGTGAAAGGAGGTGGTTAGAGGAATTAGACGCAAGAGGAACCTCCATAGGAAATGGGTACTGGAGCAAATAGACAAAAGGGTATACCGGGGGGAGGAGGCCCATTGCAGAAGGATTTTTCACAAAGCTAAGGCTGATTACAAGCTGAGATTAGATGAGGCTGGGGACTAAGAGGCACAGAGTCACCCCCCTAGAAGTCAAGGGGCTCCTCAGGGTACTGGACGTTACACAAAGGCGCCAGGCCCTGACGGGTTACACCCGAGAGTACTTCAAGAGTTGGCAGGGGTTCTCTCACACCCGCTGGCCTCCATTTTTGAGGCCTCATGGAGAATGGGTGAAGTTCCAGAGGACTGGAGGGTGGCATCACTAGTCCCAATTTTCAAAAAGGGTAGTAGAAGGGACATGGGGAATTACAGACCTGTTAGCCTTACGTCCATTGTAGGAAAAACAGTGGAAAGGCTCATAATAGTGAGAGATCTAGTGATGCTAGACAGGGAAGGGAGGCTGGCAGCCACACAACATGGCTTCTGCAATAACAGGTCCTGCCAGACAAACCTTGTGGAATTCTATGAAAAGGTTCCAAGGTGGCTAGATGGAGGGGATGCAGTGGATGTGGTTTTCCTGGATTTCAGCAAGGACTTTGACAAAGTGCCCCATGAGATCCTGGTTGAGAAATTGAGGAGTTTTGAGATAGAACAATGCACTGCCCGATGGATTAGGGCATGGTTGACTGACCGAAAGCTGAGGGTAACCATTAGTGGGGAATCATCAGGATGGTGGCCAGTGACAAGTGGGGTCTCCCAGGGCTCCCCCAGTTCAATCTTTTCATCAACGACATGGAAGAAGGGGTGAACAGTCTGCTGATCAAATTCGCAGACAATAGTAAAACTGGGGCAGTGTTCACAACTGAGGAGCAGGTACTCCAGATCCAAAAGGATCTGGACAGACTATGGAATGGGCAGGAGACAGTGGGATGGCATTCAGTGTGGATAAGTGCAAGGTCTTGCACTTGAGGCATAGGAATGGGTGTCATAAGTACAGGTTAGGGGACAAGTGGCTAGAGAGCAGCACTTGTGAAAGGGATCTCAGGGTGCTGGTGCAGAATAGAGCTGCCAGCCTGCTGATGGGGACCAGTCGTTTTTCTCACATAACACTGGTCCTCTACCAGCTCCACTGACTTCCAGTTGAAGTCCGGGCCGAATTCAAGGTGCTGGTTTTGACCTATAAAGCCCTAAATGGCTTGGGACCAGGTTACCTGAAGGAACGTTTCCTTCATTACATGCCCTCATGCCCCTTAAGATCTATGGGAGAAGCCCTACTCCAGGAACCCTCTCTAAGAGAGGTAAAAAGGTCATCAACTCGAAGTAGGGCCTTCCCTGCTGTGGCACCCAGACCCTAGAATGTACTCGAGAGGTACTCCTGGTGCCAAGTTTATACTCTCTTCGGCATCAGGCCAAAACCTTTTTATTTAAACAGTATTTAAAACTCTAATAGTTTTTTTTTAGTTTAGTCGCTATGGTTTATTGTTTTGTTCTGTTTTATTATTGATATTCTTGTTTAATTGTCCTTTTAAAAATTGTAAGCCATCCTGAGATCTTGTATAATAGGATGGCATACAAAAGCTTTTAATAAACAAACAGGATAATTCTCTGAAATTCATTTGCAGCAAGGTTAGGATGGATAAAAGAACACAGTTTGTGTTTTATGCAATGCATTATTTACAGAAGTTGTCATAAAATACTGCGATCACCACTCCCACATTTTATGACTTTAAAAGGACAGGGCTGGAACGAGTCTGCCAATGACTATTAGTCATGATAGGTATTAAGAAACTTCTCTGTTTAAAGGTGCTACTGCTGCTGAATGCTAGCTGCTGTGGAGCAGCTATAGGAGTGGACTTCAAGCTCTGCTTGTGGACTTGTTAGAGGAATCTGTAATCCAGCATGCAGGACTAGATGAATCTTTGGTCTGCCTGAGCAAGCCTCCCCCTGTTCCAAAACATGTGCTTGCTAGCAACCTGTCCCTTTTCTGAGTTGGTATCTTTGCAGTTCACCACAGCAGTCCAGTGCAAATTGTGAGGCAATTATTTTCCTTCTGTTCGCTTATTTCAGTTACACCTCAGAAACACTTGGAAAGCAGTGAGACACTTTGCTGGTTGTCAAGCCTGAGTCTCAGTGTGAAGTCACTGGAAAATGGCAGAGGTTAAACTGTGCTTGACAGTAATGACTTATCTCTATTAGTTATACAGTTAACATTTTGCAATGAGCTCATGCTTCCTTTCAATTCACTCCTTTGCCACAGCTTTCTGCTTTACTCTTTTTTCCACTGTACTCAGGGAAGTTACCAAGTAATACTAAACAACTAGGCAAGGAGCTAAGCTACTTAGGATGTCCCGACTATCTTTCAGTCAGCTAGAGAATTAAAGGAGATCAGACCTCCAGAAAAACAGAAGAATTTCTGTCATCAGTATAAACCCATAGTCAGTTTACATACACATCTGAGATTAAGGAGCAGATTTCCCCTCCCTCTTCATCCTTGTTGTACCGCTATAGAAGAAGTACTCTTTCCCCAGTACCTGAAGGTGGGGGGACCCCAGTGGGAGGGGGACCTTAATGAAACATTTTAGTTCACATACCCAGTACTTCGAATTTTAGTATACTTGTCTTCCCCATAACCTTCCAAAAGCAATGGCTAAGGAAGTCATCACAAAAGTCTAGCGGGTTAGGTTCCTCCTAAGTTAAGAAATATACTTCCTTGAGTCACACTGAAAACATCTGCAACCATTGAAGGAGGAAGGAGATTGTTACAGATATGGTAAAATGCTGCTAGCCACTGTAAGGGTGGGCCACATCCTGGCTCTGAAGCAACCTACTGGGGAGTTAACCAAGAATGGTCATACATGAGTAGCCATTTCCTGAAATCTTCCTAAAATGCTAGCAAATACTTACATAAATAGGTGCTCTACATATAGAACCAAAGAAGATGAAATAAAAATAGAGAACAATTCCAAGCATTTCCATTGATAGCTGGATAACAGACATTATAATTTTCTAAACAAAAAATCTCACAACTGTGAATGCCAAACAATCCACTAAATGGTTAAATAATATATCTGAACTTCCATGGGAAAAATGTATTTTTGTAATGTCTTTTCATTTGTTGTCTATTTTTTCTTATATTACATTTATATGCACATGATGTTGTCTTGCACATCAATATATTTTGGACTATCTCCAATCTTACATTACATCATCATCTTAAAAAGCAATGCTGAATCTTTCTTACTTTCATTGTGAGGAAAAATGACACAAATATCTGCTTAATACCTTAATGCACAAGAAGATCTGCTGTCTTAACACATTGTTCAGGCTTTAATGTTATTTAAGTGGCCAGGGAGCAGGCTAAAGAATTATCTCTTTGACAGTCCCATATATAAATTAGGCTGGAATATTTAGCAGACAGTGTTTTCCATGAGATCAGTATTAATAGCTTCAAAACTGCCATATATGCATATGAAGTGATGTGGGATAGAAAATATTTTAAGATGGAAAATATTCTGATTCTATATTTTTCCATAGAGTTTTTTTCACACCATATATATCTGGATTTATGTCTGTTGCCTGGGATGATGTACTGCAATTAATCAATTCTAGATGGGCTAAATATTAGATATAAACTTTTATAAGTTATTCTTTTAAAACAAGCACTTACAATCGCTAAGGCACAGTTGTCCAAGAGAGAACTGGAAAATAAAGTATGACAGCTCCCTTCTGTGCAAAATGCAGCTGGCTCCTGGCTAGGTCTAGAGTATTCACCCTCTATTGCTAACCTTATTTGGCAACACTCTGATTAATGTTTGTTTCACTTAAGAAGAGCCATAGCGGATCAGACCAAGGTTCCATCTAGCCCAGCTTTCTGTTGGCCTGGTGGCCAACCAGCTACCCAAAGGATTCCACAAACTGGACTTGAGTGCAACAGTATCCTCCTGCCAAGTTTCCTGGCCTGTGCCCTCCATCCTTTAGTGAGGCAGAATGCTCAATGAATTGCTGTGCATATGTTTAACAAATTGAAATGGAATTGACCAACAGTGCAGAGAGTAACTGAAGCG